GTGGGGTGAGATAGTTCTTTCCTTGTTGTCAGGAAACTTGAAAAAGCTTCTGAGGGGTGAAGAAGAGCGGGGTGATGGTTTATGGTTGTCCCCACCCCAAGCTTTGTAACAGGGTCACCCCTCCAAGGGGCTGCAGATGGAGCCCGTGGCATTGGGATGCAGTGTGCTTGGAAGGAAGGACAGAGCCGTGCCCTCCTGGGTCGATAGGGTAATCTTGAAGAAATCATCTTTTAATGATTGCTTTGGATGGTTTCCAGAAGGTTAATTACCCCACGTCTTCCTCCACTGGAGCATGGGGAGCCAGAGCTTGGGGTGAGTGGAGGTGATGCTGCTGTCACGGTGCCATCGGCCAAGCAAAAGAACAAGGGAACATCTTGCAGTGCCTGAACTTGGTTCGTGATGTGCTAAATGAGCAGTCAGTAGTAGTGGGGAGATGCTGAACAATAAAAGGGGCAGCAGGAGCCTCCTCAACCTTTGGCCAAGGGCATGGGATGGGGTCAGCTTTGGTTCTTCGTCACCCAGGGGCACAGGGCTGTGTCACTCTGCAGTCAGGTTTGGGGCATGGTGGTATTTAGGGGGTTCCTTCGTCTTCCTCCTCCTCCTTCCCTGCACAGAGGAGCGTTGCTTTGCTGCTAACTCACCCACACCGTGTTTCCATACTGGAGGAGAAGGGGGGGAATCAGCTCTCGGATGCTGGCAATTCCCTCTTATTACCTTTGTATATTTTATTTATTTACTATAAACTGTTATAAGAAGGCCATCACCGCCGTGTCGGCATGACATGTGAAATAGATGGCTCTTGGTTTTAAGAGCGTCACTGTGAGCCGGGAGTCTGCACGATGTTAATTTTTATTGCCAGAAGTAGCCATAAATTGATAGCTCAGAATTGCTGTAGGGGCTGTAATTAACTAGTTACTATTTCACCTCCAAAAGGAGCAATGTTTCACACTCTTACTTTTACTTATCTGGAATCGGCCACTGTCAACATCTGCTGAAGCCAGTATAAAGATTTATAGACCTTGGAGGTAAATATTGACTAATGGGCAGCTTGGCTTAATGTTCACCTTGAAGGACAATAAATTGTGCTATTGATTGAAGCTAGATGTCAATATCTGCATTGTTGTAAACATTTTAATAAAATTATCTCCATAAAATATTCCCATTCTCAGGCTAGCCCGATCGGTGCATGGCCAATGACTCAGGAGCAGCACTGGAAATCTGGGCAACCATGGGGAGCCCAAACCCATAGCGGGGCCATTGCTGAGATCCACAGAGGTAGGAATATGGCAGGTCTGCAGAGCAAGGCGCATGGACATGGTGTGAGCACACTGCAGCATTGGGAGCTTGCTGGGTGTCGTGTGCTGTGCCCTGATTAGTGCAGGAGAAAGGCAAGGAGCTGGTGTGATGCATGGGAGCGAAGAGGTGCACAGAAACAGGAGAGTTTGCTGCTGGGCTGGCATTGCCTTGCTCTGATGCTGGCATTGCAGCAGTGCTCAGCCAGGGTAACGGGAAGCGACGTGGCCCAGAGACCCCAATGCTGTGAGCTGGGGGACGGCGGCACATAATTAATTTGGGAACATGTGTTTGCTTTCTGGTGAGTTATTATCTTGTCAGAGGCTCAGTGGAAACTAACAGGTGGGAGGAGGCAGAGGGGAGCCCAGTCAGGCCTAGCAAAGGGGAAGCAAGAGAAGGAGAAAGGCAAGGAAGGAATAGATGAGGCCCCCGATCTCCCCACATGTCATCTCATCCACTCTGTGCAGGACCCCAAGCACTGCTTGGATGTCTCTTGGAGCAGGGTTTCACCCCCGTGGTCCAACCAGCACCCCTGTCCCAGCACTGCTGGGCCAAGCTCTGCTCTGCTTTGCAGTGCCCATTGGCCCTGCTGGTGCTGCTCCCCGTGCCCCCGTTTGCACCAGGTTAGGTCATCACCCTCTGCAGAGGAGTGAGGTGCTGTGCCTTTGAACAGTCAATGGCTGTTCCATTTCTGGCCTGGACTGTATTATTATTGTTAATAATGGGTGCTGGCTGTGCTGGTTTTGTAGCTCCCGAGGAGATGAGAGCGCTGTGCCATTAATTCCTGCAATATTTCAGCAGCTAATTGTGCTCGAGCAGAGGCAGCCCTGAGAAGTTCCCGAAGTCACTCCGGGCATTGCAGAGCTGCTGCTGGCTTAGGGCTGCTGAGCTCCAAGCAGTTGCAGAGGCAGGAGGAGTCTGCACCATTGGAGACCCGCAGAGCAACCCTAAGAAGTCTGATATACGTGAGACCAGTCAGAGGGATGGCTCCCATCCAGAATCTGGGCTGGGCTGGTGGTGCCCTGATTCTAAGCCTCAGGAGCTCAGCTTCCCCAAACATCAGCATCCCCAAACATCAGCATCACCAGCCACTGAGGACCCCAACAACCATGGGGCAGCAGTGCGTGCATGGAGCTGATTTTCCTGCCAGGTCCTTTGTGCAGGAGGGGACGTGAGCCAGAGCTGTTGTTTCCTCACATACCACGCTGATTTCTGAGCCCATTCATTTCCAGTGCTCTCAGCTGGAGCAGCACATAACAAGCCGCATGGCTTCGCTCTTTATTTACTGCCACTTCCCCATCAGAAGCAGCTCTCAATATAAAACCCAAGAAGTGGAGAGCACCCTGTTTGTTAAGCGCTCTGGCAGGAAGGCAGTGAAAGGAGATGGGGCACGGCTCAGCAGGTGCCTCCATCCGGGTACAGACTGGCAGAAATCTGTCATTGCTGCAAAAGTGCAATAGGGCATCTCGTGTCCAGACCACTTCAGTGCCTGTGTGTACGTAGCCACTTAAGCTGGCCCCTGTGTGTATGTTGAAAGTAAAGCAGGTAAGGGAGAAAGGGGGAAGTACTGTGTACAGGGGACCCTCCTCTCCCATTGACCTTGGTGTGGGATTGCTGCACTAACAAGGCTGAATCCATACAAGGACCCTAGCAGCAGTGGTCTTCATCTTGGTGTCATCTCAGCAATAGCACGCAGAGCATTGCATGGTGGTACCTTTGCAGGCTCTGTGTGTCAGGGCTGATGGCACAAAGCCAGACCCCAAAACTTTGCATTTTGTCCCTCCAGAAGCTGATTACCAGGCACTGACTGACATCAGGCTCCTGCACTACTCCAGCACAAAGGCTGGGAGCCTTCATCTCTCCCTTCCCCAGCTTTTGCAGGTAGCAGGCTGACCCTGGCCGTCACTTCACAAAGTCCTTTGCTGGGTGATGAAACGCGCCCTCACTGCCTTGCTCCAGGATCAAACCTCAGCAGTGCAGTGCTGGCGAGTGATGATTTGGGGAAGGGCCTTTGCTGAGTTTGGAAGCAGAGCTTTATTGGGCTCTTTGCACAAACAGGAGTCAGATCTGCACGCAGAGCATCCGAGGGCTGCAGCTGTGTCGTAATTCCATCGGCAGGCAGCGCTGTGCTACTGAGAGCTCATTCTAGGTCAGCCGGAACAGGCAGCTTGTTTCCTTCCCTCTCTCTCCTTTTTGCTGCGCAAACTGCTGCTGGATATAAAACTGTAATTTTTGTGTCTCCAAAGGATATCGATTTTGGGGTAACGCCTTCATATCTCGCCCTTCTGCTGCGCTAAGTGCTGATGAGCTCAGCGGTTTTTCACTGCCAGCCGCTCCGCTGGGAGCTCGCGCGCGGGGCTGAGGATGCTGCAGGTGGATGGCAGCCATCCATCAGGGCTGTGTGCACGAGAGGACTCACCTCAGCCATGGATGGGGTCCGTGGGATGGGGGTAGGCACAGTGGGGGGCTGGGGTTTGTGCCGATGACGCTGCAACTGCAGCTTGGGCATCAGCATCTCAGTGGGTACCCAGGGTGCTCACAGCAGGATGTGGCATTCAAGAAAACACATCAGGCTCGGGCCCTGTACACAGATCTGCATTTATGCACGTGCTCAAAGCAGCTGCATTCAAAGCAGTCTGTATGGGCAGTGTGTGACTGCGCTCACTGTTTTGGACCAGTGGGAAGAGCTGCTCTAAAGGTATCGTGCCACGCAGGCAACATTCATTGTATACAGTTTTCATGCACATGTTAAGAGCAAGATGCGCCCGGCTGGCCACCCAAGCATGTCAAGCCACAGCATTTTGGGTCACAGCAGTGCACACCGGGCTGTGCTGGTCACATCACCACATCCCCTGGGAGCAGGGACCTGTGCTTGGCCTCGCTGCCATTGGCACTCACTCCTGGAAACAGCTGTCCAGAGCTAATTTATTTCCTAATGCTGCAGCAATGTTAATTTATAAATTACACTGGTAATTCGAGCTATTATTAATTTCAGATGGTGTAGGGCAAGCTTAATTAAAATATGATACCAATTGCCACACATATGTACCAAGGACTACCGTTTAAAATTTATAGGAATATTAAGTGTGACACTGGTTGTGGAGATGCTTCGTGCTGTAATTATCGCGTCTGAGCTGCAGGAGAGCTGAGAAAGGCAATGGGGAAGTGTCAGGGAAGGGAGGAGGATGCCACCTCTCCATCTGGGTCTGGTGGTTCCTGGGTGAAAGATGCTTCTCTGGAGCATCCTAATTGCTGTGTAACTCGGTGTCTGTTGTAAGGTCTCCACGCTGGAGGAGCTGGATGGTTTTGAGCATAGAGTGGCACGGGGAGAGGGATAGAGCCCTGCAGCTGAAGGGCAGTGTTGGTACTGATGGTGTAGGAGCAAGCTGGCTGCGATTCAGTGCAGCTGAAAGGTCCGAGGGAGGCTTCAGGAGGAATCCAGCAGCACCTCGGGGCGGGAAGATGGGATGGGATGAAAACCCCCTGCCCATCCTGCACACACTGGGGACATTAATATGCAGCAAGTGATGCTGTCAGAAGGGCTGGGACCAGTGCATCTGGCACCGGTCTAGCAGGGGTTTCTTGCAGTAGATGGGTGGGACAGCATGGTGGCCCATGGTGACAGCATGGTCCCAGCTGGTTACCACAGGTTGGGCATGGGCTCACCGTGCCCCCCTCGCTCACAGCCCACTCCCTCCACCCAACAGCCGTGGGCTTCATCAGTGAGGATGAGTACCTGGAGATCACAGGCATCACGCGGGAGCAGTCGGGCGAGTACGAGTGCAGTGCCTCCAACGACGTGGCTGCGCCTGTCGTCCAGAGAGTCAAAGTCACCGTCAACTGTGAGTAGCTGTGGGTTGCAGGGACAGCCCAGGGCCACTTTGTCCCACCCCGAGGAGATGCAGCATTCACCTGCCTTTGGTCCCACTTCCCAGCCTGGCAGCAGCAGGTTTCCAAGCAGGTGGTGCTCTGCCCTTTTATTCCCCCCCCCCTTTTTTTTTTTTGTTTTCAAGCTCTGTTTTTTTCCACCTCTTCCTCAGCTGTTTCCATCAACCTGAGTTTTCTGCCTGTGGTGAGATGCTGTGCTGATAACCTCAGGGGAGAGGAGGGAAGTGAGCAGTAAATAGGCATTTCTTCGTTTTGAAAAAAGGGAGAGAGAGAGGAAGAAAGCAGCACTGTTTGTGCTTGTAGACAGAAGTGAAGGCCCTCCAAGCTCCCCAGACTCCATTCTGGTCACCCCTGGAGCTTTTGGGCATCAGGGAGCGCTGGTCCTTGGAGGATGCAGGGATGTGGTTGGGGTCCCCCATCTGCCCAACCCTTTTGGACAGCAGAACAAGAGTTGCAGGAGCTGGGCATAAGCTCGGAGATGATTTTTCTCCTTCCATGAGATGGGGAAAGAAAAGGAGAGAGAGGTGGGAGGCACCAACCCCCAGCTCTGTCCTCCCCACAGACCCGCCGTACATCTCGGATGCGAAGAGCACCGGTGTGCCGGTGGGGCAGAAGGGCATCCTGATGTGTGAAGCCTCCGCCGTCCCCTCCGCTGACTTCCAGTGGTACAAAGACGACAAGCGGTAAGAGCCCGGGGTGCCCCATGGGGGTGGGAGCTGACCCTTCCTCCCCTCACCCTTCATCATCAAAAACCCGCAGAGCAAAGCCAGCGTAGATCCAGGACCTTCCAACACCTGTAGGTTGGGATTCATAGAACCGTAGAATCATAAAATCATTCAGGTTGAAAAAGATCTCTTGAGATCACCAGTCCCAACCCCATCCCACCGTGCCCACTGCCTGCATCCCTCAGTGCCACATCCCCACTGCTCTGGAACAGCCCTAGGGACAGTGACCCCACCCCCGGGCAACTGGGAAGTGCAGCATCACTCTGTCAGAGAAGAAATAGTTCCTAATATCCACCCTGATGAACCTGTCCTGGTGCAACTTAAGGGCAGTACTTCTCATCCTGAATCATAGGGGATGCTTCCTTCTTGGTGCCATCTCCATCACCCCTTCTGCTCTCCTCCCAGGCTGGCTGAAGGACAGAAAGGGCTGAAGGTGGAAAACAAAGCCTTCTTCTCCCGACTGACTTTCTTCAACGTCTCTGAGCAGGACTACGGCAACTACACCTGCGTGGCCTCCAACCAGCTAGGAAACACCAACGCCAGCATGATCCTTTATGGTGAGCAGCACTGAGGGGCTGGGATGGGGACCAGGCACAGCTTAACGGAGCGACCACCAGTGTACAATCTGGAGTGATGCATGTTCCTACTCATCCTTTCTAACACAGAGTGTGGGTGAGCACAGGGGAAGCATCAAAACCTCCAAACCACCCTCCTGACTGGGCACTGCTTAGAGGTGTTGGGCACTGTTGCTGTGTTTGGGCATCAGTGCAAAGCAAGGGTCTAGCTGCGGGTGTCCATTGCCTTGCTCTGGCAGATGCCAAGGAGAAGCAGGGCTTGGGGACCTCCATTCTCTCCCAGCATCATTCCTCATGATGACCCACCCTCAGTTCTGGGCCCGCTTTGGATTTGCAACAATTGTGTGCAAAGTGCATCATTATCCACCTCTTCGACATGACCTTGTGCTGGGGACACCGAGGGGGAAACCCAGGGGAGGCACGGTGTGGCATTCCTGCCCATGGGTAGCAGTGTTCATGGATGACATTAATAGCAGCCCTTGTTAAACAAACCACAGGATGGAATTAATCACCGTGAAGAGGGTTTAATGGAAAGCACCAACTTGCTCCTGGCATTGCAAACCCTTTCCTAGAATGTGTGAGTTATTTAATTAAGCCTAGAGAGGTTACAAGAGACCCCTTTTCTGCAGGAAAGGCAGGGTTGTGGTAGAGCAAGACACTGCTTTTGTAGGTGTGCAATGATTGTAGGTGTGCAGTGATTAAGAAAAGGAAAACAAGATAGCAATTAGCACTTTGTACCAGCAGGGCATTTGGGAAGACATCTCTGGAAATGTGGTCTCTCTTTCCTGCTGTCCCCCCGTATCTGTGCAGAAGGCACTGCCCATCACATGTCTGCTCCTTTATACATGTTGGGCTGAGTGAGCACCTGTGTGCTGCTTGCATCCTCATCTTCCGTGGGTACCAGCTGTTGCACTGGGTTTCCCCACAGATCTCTTTCCCTCACTGTGCTCAGGGCTGTGCCCGCAGCTCCCAGGTCGCTCCAACTTTGGGTGTTAATGAGCATCACAGTCACTTCTGCAGGAAAAAGTTGGTGCTGTAAGTGACAGACATTAGTTGTTACCTGGCTGTTAAGCCTTCATTAGGGTTGCTTAGAAACGATCTCAGCTTCTTCCCCATCGGGCTTTCCGGTAATTTTGGTCACCAATGACTCTGTTTTTCAGGGAGAGGGACAGGACACCTCAGGGCCACATGGCTCTGTCCATGCTGTCCTGCCCTGGGGACCGAGTGTCCCACGTGGCCTGGGCCACTTGTGTGATTGTAATCTCTGTATTGGCTTATGGGATGAAAATCTCACATAATCCTGGGACCCCATTCAAGGGTTGCACAGTGCAGGCTGGACAAGAAGCCTCCGAGTTAAGAAGGACTCTCTCTGCTGGTGGTTTAATGAGAGCTGCCAGTTACTGGATTTTCTTCCATTAAAGACACTTGGAGTGGCTCGTGCCATAATGGGAAACGTGGCCCCATCACCTTGTGTGCAGCCCAGCTGGGAGCCAAATCCCCTTACGGTTCCCAGTGAAGTGCTGTGCTACCTGTTGCAGGAGAAATGTCCAATCTGTGTGGTTTTGGGGGACAGTTTTGTGTGCATCCCCTCTTCCTTGAGGCTGAGTGAACTATTCAGGGTTCTCCTCCCCCAAATGGAGTTTTAATCCACGTCAGCACATTGACGTTTCCAGTGCCTTGCAACTGAGGATAGTGCAGAATACATCTTGTAATCCTTTCCTTAATCTTTTTTTCTCAGGGAGGTCAACTGGTGCTTTATCTAACACGTAGCAATTCTTATTACAGGCCTTCCACCTAATTCAGCGGCTCATTTGATGCTGTCTTTAATGTGATGAAGTGCTCTGGAATCAAATAATTTTCTTGAGTCAGAAAGAAAAAAAAAAAAAAAAAAAGGAACAGAGCTCTCTACTGCTCCCCTTTTGTGCAATCCATGTGGATTCCCAGAGGGTTTGCAATAAAATCACCCAGGAAGCTCCACATGGATGGAGGACAGAGGCCCTATAGCAATCATGACCGTGCATTTTCCCATGCCAAGAGCAGGCTGAGCAAAGCACCTTGAGCCTGCCATTGCCTCTGTGCCTTAACCTTGACTTGTTCTTTGATTTTTAGAAGAGACAACAACCGCTCTGACACCCTGGAAAGGTCAGTAATGATGAGCCTGCAATGCCAGCAATCCCCCTGCTCCGTGTCCCTGTGGGTCCCTCCAGCAGTATCCAGGGAGCAGCTCCCCTAAACCCCATTGCTCCAGCTCTTGCAGTGATAACTTTGGGGCTGCTCGTGGCTTCCCCATTGCTGCTTAACTGTAGCCACATGCGTTTAGCTGCATTTCTGTTTGGGTCTTTAACATGCCCACCTCCCACCTCTGCATGCCACATCCCCACTGTCCCCTCCACTGCTCTCTTCCCCCCCGTCTCCAGGATGCAGGCAGGGATGGTTTCGTGGTCCTGTTGCCCAGTGGTGCTGCAGCCAGTCCTTCTTCCTCTAGGATGCTTTTAGTGTTGCTTTAGTGCCTTTTTTTTGCCTCAGGATGTGGTAGGGGTGCTCTTCCTTGCGTTGCTGCTCTTACCGATCGATCGATCGCTTGCCCTGGGGACCACCACCATCCTGATCTGGGGCTCTGCAGCCACGTGGCTCCATTCGTAGTGCACTTTGTGGCTGGCAGTGGGATGATCTCAAGATATTGGGAAGAGTTGGAGGCAGCACGAAGCTGCTCTTGGTTCCAGAGCTGCCCATTGCCCAGCTTGTTAGTCCCACCATGATTTAGGGCTCTGTGGGTAGTGGTGTCTGTAGGGGTGCTAGAGTATGCTGCAAAAGGGAGACCTGATGGAGAGTGGTCCTCAGTGCCCTGAGTGAGGGGACATCTCTCGGGATTGCAAAAGTGAGAACTGATCTGATCCTCCCACATGGTCCCACTGGGGCAGGACAGTTTGGGGTGTTTCTGCCAAAAAACACCAACTTGGGAGCCCTTCTCCGTGGCATATTTCGAGATCCTCACCTGTCTGCCTAAGCATGGGGATCTCTGTTCCTTACAACCCGCTTCATCCTTCCTGCAGAGGGACACAAGGTGGCTCTGGGGAGGCTGGGTGCCAGCAGGAGCTGGGTGCAGTGCTGCACATGGAATCATTGAATGGTTTGGGTTGGAAGGGTCCAACCTCCACCGTGGGCTGGTTGTCTCCTACCAGCTCAGACTGCCTATGTTTCCATCCATGGCCTTGGGCACCTCAAGGCACGATGCACCCACTGCTTCTCTAGGCATCCTCTGCCAGTGCCTCATCATCCATCTCCTGGGTGATTTTTACAGAATCAGAGAGTCATCTTGGAGTCATAGACTTACAGAATTACAGTGTTATATGATATCCCGGGTCGGAGGATGAAGTCCAATTCCTTGGTGGTACTTTTGGTTTAGCTGGGTGAAAGCTATCGCCTCCAAGTTCACAGAACATTTGGAGGAGCTGGAGGAGGTTGCTTTGTGGTTTTGCATCCAAGATGATAGGCTGGGGATGGGAAATGGGAACCAGCACAGGACCGTGGTGGGGTTCATGTCCCAAACCCAAGGACGGGAATGGCTGCACCATGCAGCTCTCAGCGGCAACCCCAGTGTTTGTAATAGCACCGGGGCCCAAAGCAGCGTTGTTTTCTTCCCCCCTCCATTCCCTCCAGCTAACAGTGCGGGTGTTTCTCCCCCCGCAGGCCCCGGTGCAGTGCACGATGGCAACAGCGGTGCGTGGCGGCGAGGCAGCTGTGCCTGGCTGCTGGCCCTGCCGCTCGCCCAGCTCGCCCGCCAGTTCTGAGCCCCGAGGCGGCCACGACCACCACAGCAGAAAGGAGAGGAAGAAGATGTATTCACTGTTTCTGAAAATAATCATAAGAATTGAGAGAGTTGTCCGGCCAGGCCTTCTGGGGGAGGGGGAGAGAGGAAAAACACGCAAAAAAAAAAAACAAACAAAGCGACAACAATTAATAATAATAATAATAATAATTCAAAGGGAATTTGGAAAGGAGGGAGGAAAAAAAAAAAAAAAATTATCCAAGGCTTCCTGCTGAAGACGCAACACGACTGAGTCTTTTTCTTTCCTCTGGTTATTTTTTCGCCTGCCCCTTTTTCTGCCCCGTTTCGTCGTTCTCTGCTGTGGGTCAGTGTGGGGATGGGGCAGCCCTGGTCCCCTCACCATCCCCGCTCACCCGGAGCCCCTCCGTCCGTATGCACAGGTTTTTTTCTTGGCCGAGATTTCCCCGTCTTCTCATGGACTGTGCCGCCATTTGTGTTCCGAAATATATATATATATATCCACATATACATATATATATATATGTATAGATATATAGATCTTCAACAGTTACACCACACCGCCACGAACGGAAAGGGAGGAAGGAGAGCAGTGCCGAGCCACGTTCATCGTACGCCACGCGGACATCGTGAATGATAAGGGTTCATTTTATTAATTATATTTTCTGATACGAGCCTAGAACTCTTAGTTCCTAAAAAACAAAGATGCAAAAAAAAAAAAAAAAAAAGAAAGAAAGAAAGAAAGAATGAATGAAAACCAGGAACGAGAGAGCAAGCGGAGAGAAGTGTGTTTCCGAGGAGGATGGTGCTGGCTTGTCCCTGGGCGAGGAGCAGGAGCCTTGTGCTGAGACCCCTCACCCGGCCTGGACCACGGCCATACAAACAGTTCCTCCGTGCATCGAGGCGAAGGGAGACGCTGAATCTTTTTATGGGATATATATATACAGTATATATAAATATACATATATATATATATATATATAATTTTTTTTTGTTAGCGTTCCAGCCACAGTTCCCAGCAGGGTCCTTCCGCTGCCATTACTGCATGCTGTATATGGAGTTAGGTGTGTATTGGTCCTCCGTGAGATGAGGAGAGGTTCTCGCTCCGCACGTGCCCAGGTCCCATCACCTTTCCACCCTCGGGTGTCTGGGGACAAGGGGACACAGGTGCTGCATGGGGTCCCTCTCCGTCACCCTGTGCTGCGCACCCTTGGTGGTGGAATAAAGCGAACCGAGGGATGGACGTAGATATAGATCTATATAGCTCAGTTTCATTTATATATATATATATGTATATGTGTGTGGGTGTGCGTGTGTGTGTGTATATATATATATATATATATATATATATATAAAAAGAAGGCGAAGCGATCGGCACCCACCGCTGAGCCACCGGCTGAAATTTGAGGGGGGAGGGTAGGGCACCTCAACGACTCGCTTTATTTTTCACTGGTGGGGGTCTCCCCTGCAGTTTCTTTTCCTCCTTTGGTTTCCCTTCCTTCTCCGTGGCCGACAGCGAGGCGGGGGCACGGCGGGCGGGCGGCGAGGGGGCTCTCTCTGCCTCTATCCATTAAAACGATTGTTCCATGTGGCCGCTCCGTCTGCTTGTGGTGCTCATTGCCCCCGCCGCGGCCGCTGGGCGATGGGGAGGGCTGCTGGGATGGAGGGAGGGAGGGAGCAGTGATGAGGAAATGGATGGAGCAGCAGGAGGAGGTGAGCGCCGAGCCCGGATGTGATGCGGCACAAGGTGAGGCTTCGGTGAGTACATGGAGGGCTGGGGTGAGCTGACTGGTGTTGGAGGTGATGCGGTGGGGCCGCGCAGGTCACAAGTGAGTTTCTGGGTGTTGGTGAAACCTTGCTGTTGGTGCGCTGGCGTTGGTCTCTGTTGGTGCGTGGAGGGGTGTTGTTGATTGAGTCTTCAGCTTTCACTGTAGCCACCGGCTTCTCAAGGTGCGTGAGCTCCACCTGGCACATGGCGTGTTGTGTGAGGATCAGAGCTGGTCTGTTAACGATTGCAGGGCTTTTAATATTTTATTTTTTTTTCCTCCTCTGAGTTTGTGCAGCCCGAGAAGTAGGCAGGGAGAAGGGAGAGAGAGAGCAGAGAGGATAGCGAGGTGTTGTGAAATGACGGCGCAGCATCTCCCGGCCCCAGGCAGCATGTGGGGACCTGAGGTTGGAGCATCCCTCGAGGACGGGGAGAAAAGGTAGGGAACAGAGACCCCCACCCCTGTGTGCACAGTGCCCAATGCACCTTTGGGCTGATTGCAGCCAGCAGCATTTGCAAAATGTTCAGCTATTCCCATCCTTTTGGGAGCCCTGCCCTAAGTGAGGGTCCCTTGCTGTCACTGTGGGCACCAGTGCCCCATCACTGACAGTGCAGTGGATGCAAGGCCCTGTTTGGAAAAAGGGGAAAATCTCCAAAGGGACTTGCTGTGAGCCCCAGGGTTGCTTGTGTCTTTTCCCTTGGTGGCAAATACTGTCGCTGTGGGAATGGAGGGGCCCCCAGTACGTGGGCTTTATCCCAAAGTTACCCTGTTGGCAGGGTTGCAAAGGCATCCCACTACCATGCATTTCCCCATGGGCTCGTGGCATTTAATTGCTTTTCCAGGGCAGGATGGCCAGATGCATGCAGCTTTCTGCATCCTGGAGTCAGGATGGCAGAGAAAGAGGGGATCAGTGCCAACCACAGTGCTAGAGCCACGGTGATGGCTTTGTAGGAACTGCTGTGGCCACATTTGTTGTGCCACGGCCACAGATGTGTGTCTCTGCTTCTCCTGGGGGAGGAGATGGAGCAGTGCATGGCTGTTGGCTTTCAGGAAAAGAAAGTTGGCTGTGGCAAGGCAAGCCTGGCAGGTAAGGGAGGAACCCTGCCCACCTCCAAAGGATGCATCTGGGGTTAATGGGGCTCCTCCCTTTATTTTTGAAATTCTGATATTTTCAGTGCTGTAGGCAGGAGGTAGAGGGCACAGTGCCAGGGTTTGAGCACTGCAGAATTAGTTGGAGAGAGAGACAGAGAGATGCTGGTTTATGGGTGTGTTTCTGTATTTATTTAGATACATATTTATTTGTGTCTCTCAGTGAAGGGAGATGAATGTCATGGCCTGAAAGATGCCCTCGCTCCCTCTGGATGTAGCTGTGCTCCAGGTGTTAGTGATGCTTTCCTGTATGTTGTGAAAGGAGCCCACTTGTGCTTGTGTTGTTCAGGACAGGGTTTATTGCTTGTGCCACAGTGTGTTAGCTGTGATTCTTGCCTTGCAGGAAGTGATGATGCGGAGCACGAAGCCCTCTGGTCTGGGGCCACAGCAGAGAAGGGAGCGTGTCAGGCTGTCTCTCATTGTTCTTCTTGGTTGTGACACAGCAAAATTGCACTCAGGAGAGGCCAAAAGTGTCCAAAAAAGGGAGGAGCAAGTGCTCGTTCCCTTCTGGATGGCTCTTCCTTCTTAACACTGCATCCCAATGACTGGTGCTTGTCATCCTTTTACCAACCACACCAAGAAGTCCAAGAGTTTTGCATGGGGGGTGGCTACAACCTGATTTAGTTTTGCAGGTTGTACGTGCAGCTGTTGTTTTTTTTCCTAAGAGGCATGTAAAAGGCTGCTGGTAGGTGGACGAAGAGCAAAGGGACAGTGTCACCATTATATCACCCGTAGAGATGTGCACAGACAAGAGGGATGGCCCAGCCGGGTGATTTCCACCTCCATGGCCACGATCGAGGTGAGCTGTTTGGAGTCTTGGTGCTGCCCTAGCCCCAATCCATTTGGATGTGCTGGAGCAGGTGTGCTTCTCCCATCCCAGACCCCTCTCCCAGTGTGTTTAGGGAAGCACTTACCTTTCTTTCCAGTGCACACAGCCAAGGTGTCCCTGACAGAGCCATATGCTGAAGTGGTTGCAGGCTGTGGGAGGCTGTCACCATGAGGAGCAGCTGGCTCAGCAATACGCTCTGAGGACACTGCTTTCCAGCTTCATGTCAGGAAAGGCAAAGGGAGGTGCAGAGCAAGCAATCAATCTCCTTATGGGTCAGGCGTTGCCCCAGAGCATCTTGCTGCTCTTGTGCTCCTAGCAGCCTTCCTACCCTCTAACACAGCTCTGAGATATCAGCTTTGGGGTTTCTGCAGGAAAACAGGGCCCCTCACTGAAGAGCATCCATCAGTGGGATGGGAAAATGGTCCCAAGAGGCACAGGTCCCTTCCCGTAGTCTTCGTCCGTTGATGAAGGCATACTGTCTGTGTCTTGTGGAGTCACATCTTGGTAGGCGCAAAGCACTGTTAGGAGCATTTCCTCTGCAGTGGCATTCCTTGCACAGAAGTAGGTTTTTTGGAGCAAACATTGTTAAGAGACGATGACACATGAGACAACACAGCCACCAAAAGGAAGAATCCAGTGGTGCTTCTGCTGAAGGTAGGTGAGTGAACAGAGCAGAGCCGGTCCTTCGCCTGCAGGGCTCCTGAAATAGGTATGTGCTTGTCTGTGCTGCACGACCCATCAGCAGAGGACAGACGTGGGGATAGGGATGAGGGAAGAGTCAAATAGCAGCGAGGCACAGAGCAAGGAGCCTGGTTGGGAACCAGACAAGCCGTGGGGCTGGAAGCAGTGCCAGTGCAAGGGCAGCCAGGAGCTGAATGCGGCTGCCATGGAGCACGGTGCACAGGAGCCCCGCGCTCCCCATGCGCTCCGTGAAGCAATGCCCCGAGGGTACAAAGTTCGTCAAACTTTATTGATACACTGCACAATCACAACCATCTCTTATTCTTGCCGAATTAGAAAAGGTTACAACTACAATGTAACATGCACAAATCTCAGGTAGTATAGCCACCCTTGGAATACAATGATCGACGGAAACTCAGAGACCGCGCGCCGGCAAGGCGAGCACGTGGGGAGTGGCGATGGCATGAGGCTCTGCCACCCACCCACACGGCAGAGCCGTGGCCTCGGACAGCCAACACGTTCCTCACAACTGCACGTTACATGGCACGAGAAAGTCGAACGCCGTCCCGACGGAGGAGGACAAGGAAGCCAGCCCAAACCGACCCGGGGAGGGAGAAGAACGGGGAGCGCGGGGCGGCCCCGAGGCTGTTGTGTGTGACCTCGGGGCATCTGGTAGTCGTCATGTCTTGTCTCTGCAATGCTACGGCC